ATGTTAAAAACTCAAATGCATCATTTATCACAGTGAGCCCATGGCCAAATCAGGATGAATTCTTAATCTTGTAACAAACCACAAGGCATGCTATCTCTTTATAACCATCTGCTCTCAAACAGGAAATACCAGCCAGTCTGGAGCTTGGCAGAGTTTTCCCTCATCTTCTTTGTTCTTATTCTTCCCCTCCTTTTTAAATTTTATTTATTTATTTTTTTATTTTAGCCTTCCCAACTCCTTGCTTTCAGCGAACTTCAAATCTTCATACATGGCACTTTAATTTTCGTTTTCCCAATCTACAATGATAACCCTAGTTAAATACAAGAAAAATTTAAAAGTATCACAATCCAAAAGTATTTTGTGATTCTCTATATTAGGCAATCATCTCTTGAGTAAGATATATGTTGTCTTGATCATAAGAAAACTCAGAATTTTTCCGGGACAGCAAACAGTGAAGAAATCTAACTAATGAGAGAGCATGTAAGAAGTGGCTCATAACTAATGCTGTAAATTTGTGCTCTTCCACTCCACCCACAATCCCTACTCCATTGAAGGGAGGAAGGCTGCAGTAATGGGAAACGTTGGATTGTCATATTCTTCAGAAGAAATCTTAAAGATCCTCGACATTTCACCTTTCAAGCAGCTGAGTCCAGAGACATGACTGCTTTAACCAAGGTCATCACCAGGTTAGTGAGTCTTTCCCTTCATCAACTGAGAATGATTGCATTGTCCCTGCAGAACATTGTCACATGTGGTTCTGGATGGGTGTTCAGTACTTTGTGATAGTACCTTGTAGGTTAAAGAGGCTTTTGCAGGCTGATTTGATGGGTCTTTCTCTTGTATGATGTATTCTAGGCTCCCCCAAAATGGGCTTACAAACAAACTTGACAACTGAAAACTGACTACCATGTGTGTGAGGTATGTGTTGTGGGATTTTAAAACCACAAGACAGGATGTGCTGTGGTTCTGAAATCTCACAATACATACCCTTCCCTGGTATAAAGGGAAGAGTAGCAGCGTTCAGTCTCATATTGACCAAGACCTAGAAAAAGAAATATTAAAATTTTGGATATCCTGGCCCAGTGTGTGTGTGCACACACAAATATACTCACACAGGGGTGGCACCTGTGGCTCAAGGAGTATGGCATCAGCCCCATATACCAGAGGTGGTGGGTTCAAACCCGGCCCTGGCCAAAAATAAAATAAAATGAAAAAGACAAATTAAAAGAAATTTAAAATATATATATATATATGTGTGTGTGTATATATGTACTCACACAAATAACAGACATGAAAATTTCCCAAACATTACTTTCTCTTACTATATGTGATGCTCACTAATATTTTCTCTCTATATTTTTAGTATTGATCATAACCAGCAAATTGTAGTTGCAATCCTACTAAGCGGTTTGTGATTTCACAAGCCAATAATAGGTTAGGTTCCACCTTTTTAAAAACCATGAATGTGGAGAGTTACAGGTCTAGAAATTCAAGACTCTAAATATAGTTGAATATCAGTACCTATTTAAAGATTAATTTGTCAGATATGAACAATTTATTGGAAGTCAGTTGTTTAGACCGAAAACATAGTTCCCATGTTTCTTTAAGTTCAGAAGCAGACTATCCACAAAAGTATCTTTCCATATACTTACACACATTAATAGGACACCCACAGGGGAGCTACTGGGGGGAGCAGCCAGCTGCTTTACTCATGCCTCTATCTCTTCTATTGTCTTCTTCTACAGCCACTTAAAAAGCAGGATATTCTCTTTTCTAATAACACCAGATAAAATATTAACCAGGCTCCCAGGAAGTGTGATGCACCAAAAATGCAAAATTTCTTGAAACTGAATCTTTTGTCCAATCAATAGGATTATTAGGCATATGATATTTGGAACTTCCTAAGCCAGATCCTAGGAGAAGAATTTTCGTCTTATATAAATTAGATCCACTTAGAAACATGTTATCTCCACCAACCAACACTGAGAAGGGGAAGGAACAAGAACTTAACAGTTTGCATGCTTCTGTATTGGGCTTAGTAAATCTGTCAATAATCCTATTTTTATACAACCATACAAAATATGTGGTAGATTTGAACCCTAGATTTGAATCCCTCTTAAAAACCTAAGTTTTGCACAATCTCATCTGCTTCTCAATCATTTGATTTATTAATGGAGCAGAGGTTATGTAAACTATCAGTCATGTGAGAAAGGAAAAGTCCACAGTGTTATGAATTCTTACTGTACCAGGAAGTGGGAGGTAAGCCTGCAAAGTTGATACTGCTCCAGTTTTAATCACATTGGAAATAATCCAACTCCAAAGTCAAGGCTGAAACTTTTTAATTTCTGGAGTTCCACAAAATAATGAAAATGAAATGAGCAGTGAGCAGATTCTAATATAATTCTCATATTGCTTTCAATAGTTGATGGGGTGCTGACATTTTGTCCTTTCCTGCCTCACTCCTACCTTCAGATAGTATTAGAGGCTTAGCATAAAACTTGAGAATTCAGTCAATCCTTCCTGTTCTGGTCAGGAAATATTCAAACCAAACTTGGGAGAATCATTTAAATACCTGAAAGATGGCCTGGCATGGTGGTTTTCACCTATAATCCCAATGACTTGGGAGGCTGAGATGGGAGGATTGCTTGAGGCCCAGAGTATGGAGACCAGCCTGGGCAACACAGCAAGACCAATTATCTGCGCCTAGTGGTTTGCACTTGTAGTCCCAGCTACTTGAGAGACTAAGGCAAGAGGATCTCCTGAGCCCAGGAGTTGGAGACCACTAAAAGCTATGATCATGCCACTGCACTCCAGCCTGGCAAGATGGCAAAACTCCATCTCTTAAAAAAAAAAAAAAAAAAAGGAAAGTAAATGATAACTGAAAGAGATTTCTTCTTTGGTGTGGTATAATTTCCAAATTAAACCATCCTATAATCTATTGATCTGATATGACTGATAATATTTTTCTATGAATTTGCATCTTTCATCTAAATTTTCAAACTTACACAAAGTTGTTCATCTATTTCTATTATCTTTTTAATTCTTGTGGTGTCTGTAATGTTCCCCTTTATATTCTAAATAATTATTTTTGCCTATTCTCTTTTTGCCTCGTTACTTTCACCAAAAGTTTGCCAATTTATTAATGTTTAAAAAAAATCAAACTTTTCCTTTTTGATTCTTCCAATTGTGTCTTTGTTTTCTATTTCATTAATTTCCACTTTTATCTTTGTCATTTCCTCTTTCTATATACTTTGGGTTTATTGTGTTATTTTTGTAGTTCTTCATGTTCTTGGCTTAATTGAATTTATTTTCTTTTCTCTAATACACATTTAAAATAAGTTTCCCTGGGTAGCACATTAGTTGTATTCAACAAATTTTGATACATAGTGTTTTTAATCATTGTTTATTTGGAAATATTTAATAAATTCTGTGTTTTGCTAAAGCATTTTAAGTATTTTATTACCAAGATAAATGTGTTAAAATCTTCTACATGATATGGAATTTGCCAAGTTTTCTTTAAGTTTTGTCAGTTTTCATTTTACATAATTTGAATTTCTTTTATTAGATACCTAACAGTTCATGATTGTTAAACTTTCTTGGTAGATAATATTATCATTCTATAATGTCTCTCCTTATCCCTCTTTATGCCTTCTGCTTTACTATTTTGTTTATTATTAATATTGCTCCACTGCTTTCTTTTGGTTAACATTTGCTGAGCATGTCTTTTTTTTTCTTATACCCTTTAGTTTTCATTATAATGCATTCTCAAACTTTAGATGTTTCTCCGATAAATAGCCTAGAGATACATTTTTTAACCAAAGGCAACGTTTTTGTCTTTGGATTGTGAAGTTCTATTTATATTTTTATAATCACTTATATTCTTAAATTTATTTTTACCATTTTATTTTGTGCTTTTCATGTGCTCCATTTTCTCTCCCTCTCTGTTTCTTCTTTTCTTGCCTTCTTTAGGTTTTGACTGTATATATATATATATATATATGTTTTTTTGTTTGTTTGTTTGGTTGGTTGGTTGGTTTTTTTTTTTTTTTTTTTTTTTTTGGCCAAGGCTGCGTTTGAACCAGCCATCTCTAGCATATAGGAACAGCACCCTACCCTTTTGAGACACAGGCACTGTCCAAGCTTTGACTGTATTTTTTAGTTTATTTTTCCTCCTCTACTAAGTGGAAATTTTTACATTCTATGTATATTCTTCTGGTGTTATACTTAAAATATTAACATGCTTTCTTTACACATTCTAAAGTTAGTCAATACTCTTCTTAATCATTATAAGAGATTAGAATGCTTTATAAGTCAGATCAGTCCCACCTCAACTACGTGTTTGTTTTCTAGTATTTTAGTTTTATTTTAATTATCATTGTTACCATTTTATATAGTAAACATTTATTTTTATTTACTCATATTAATTATTTTCTTTGCTGATAATTTCTTCTTTTTTTTTTCTTTTTCTTTTTTTTATTGAATGGTAACTGTCTGATAATTTCTTCTTTTATTTCAGACCTTTCTCCTGGGTTCATTTTCATTCTTCCTGGAATATATTCTATAGACCTTGTTTTAGGAAGAACCTCTAAGTTTTGGTTTATCAGAAAATATCTTTATTTTATACTTATATTAAAAAATAGTTTTACTAAATATACATTTCTAGGTTCACAGTTGATTTGAAGATACTACTATGTTCCATTATCTTTTACTTCCACTGAAGCTGGTGAGAAGTTGGCTGTCAGTCTAGTAATGTTTTCCTTATACGTTATCTATCTTCTTTATTTGCCCTTAATATTATTTTTGTCTTTGGTATTTTGTTATTTTAGTATGATGTGTCTAAGGATGTATTTCTTTTCATATATCCTGCTATGGTTTTTTTCTATTTTTCCAATATTTTACTAGGAAATATTTAAAAGATACAGTACAGTTGAAAGAATTATATAGTGATCATCTATACATTCACCACATATATTTTACAATTCTTTTATTTATCCTTCTTCACATGTAGGAAATTTGTTCATAGGGAGGCCACAGGTTTTATGCCCCTCATCACAATGACCCTGGATTCCTGTTGGGTATGTTATAAACAGAGGAGCAATTCTTTAGGCCCCCTATTCTGAGCACACCCCTTGCTTTGGGTTTTTAAAGTTTACTGAACATAAGTTTTAAATTTTAAATTTTTTTTTTTTTTTTTGTAGAGTTTTTGGCTGGGGCTGGGTTTGAACTCACCACCTCTGGTATACAGGGCTGGTGCCCTACTCCTTTGAGCCATAGGTGCTGCCCTCAAATTTTCAATTTTTTTTTAAAGTTTTCAATTATTATGTCTTTATGTATTGTGTCTTTTCCTATTTTATGTAGTTCTTATTGTTATGGGCTGAATTATGTTCTACCAAAATCTAGATGTTGAAGCTCTAAACTATATTGTCACTGTATTTGGTTATGGGCCCTTTAGGGAAGTAACTAATGTTAAATGAGGTTATAAGTAATTAATGTTAAATGAGGTTATCTCTTACCCCTCTGGCCTTGTCTAATTAAGACTGGTATGTGCCCATGCTCTCCTTCCCTCTTAGTCTCTATGTGCACAGAGGAGAGGCCATGTGAGGACACAGAAAGAAGGCATCTGTCTGTAAGCCAGAAAGAGAAGTCTCACCAGAAACCAACCTTGACAACACCTTGATCTTGGATTTTTAGCCTCCTGAACAGTGAGAAAATAAATCTCTGTTGTTTTAAGGCAGCCAGCCTGTGGAATTTTGTCATGGCAGTCCCAGCAGACTAATATATCTATATTCTATAAAAGTACTATGAAAAGTACATACTCACTTTAGTTCCCAAGTCTCTTAAACTTTGTTATATATGTTTTAATATGTTTGTGCTATATTTCCTGTGGGTTCTTTCATTCTAACTTGCATTATAGTAATTCTCTTTTTAATTGTGGAAACTTTGATATGTAATCCAGTCTTTGAGTTTCTAATGGGTTACACTTCTCATGTCTAGATGTTGCCTTTTTTCCTAGATCTATCCATTGGATAATTTTTGATTATCTCATATTCCTAGGGCATATCCTTGATACTCTCTTGTTTTTTAAACATAGTAACTATCCATCTGGTACTACTTAAACTACAGTTTAATTTATCTAATACAAATTTAGTCCTGACAACTATATGAAGTCATACTTGTAATTAGGAAATATCAAGATAACATTTCCTTTGTTCTATTCATAAATAAAGCTGAGATTAACATACTTCCTAATTATCTTCTATGTGATGAGAGTTTCCTCCAAGTTCATCTGTCCATTAGGATGAATCCTTTTAGAATCTCACCTTATGCCATGGCCTTATTTTGACTACCCATATTACGCAAGCCCTCAGTTTTTTTCTCCTGCCTCTTGCATACAGTTAAAACCAAAAGCTGAATGCCACCAGGGACTGTCAGATGCTGCAGGTAGCTATCCTCTCCTCATTATCTATCTGGAGGCAACTTACTTGCCAGCTCTGCATTTACATTTTTGGAGGGTGGGGGAACAGAGTCTCACTCTGTCACCCCAGGTAGAGTACTATGGCATCATAGCTCACAACAACCTCAAACTCCTGGGCTTAAGTGATCCTCTTATCTCAGCCTCCTAAATAGCTGGGACTACAGGAACCTGCCACAATGCCTAGCTAGTTTTTTCTGGCCTTAGTAGAGACAGAATCTCACTCTTGCTCAGGCTGGTCTTGAACTCCTGGGCTCAAGCAATCCACTTGCCTTGGCCTCCCAGAGTGTTAGGATTACAAGTGTGAAACACCACTACCAGCCTGCATTTACTTTTACATAATATTTATTTATCTTTTACCCCTCTGGTGTTTTGCACTTTTTTAGAGTATCTGTTTCTCATATTGCCAGAAACAGAAGTCTAATCTTACATGATTAATAGTCAGTCAACACTATCTCATGTTTTATTTCTAAGTTGTCCAGTTTAATTGTTCTAATAATAAACATCTCATCACAAATTCAGATTTGGGAGTTAAATCTCTGGGCATGGCAAAATATTAATAATGAAGCCTTGTTTAAATTAGGAATGCAACTGATCAAGTCCACAATTAATTCATTCATTCAAATATGGAATTCTGTTAAATGCCAACTTTGTTACAGGTACTATGTCAGAAATTGAAGATTAAATATGGAATAGTAAAGAGATAATTACAGCTCAGTGTTTTTGTCTAGGGGGCCTGAGGGCTCAGAAAAGGGGACCCAACCCAGACTCTAATAAAAGTGAGAGAACTCTTGAAAGGCCAGGTTGCACAAAAAATGTTGCCATCAGCAATATGGTTAACTATGATTTGTCAGTTGATTAGGATAAGTTGTTTTTGAAGCCGAACTCATATATTCTTTTATGCATAAGCTTCTTATCTAAGCTGTAGTCTGTCATCACAAGAGCCGCTCCTATCCCAGGAGGTATCCCAGATCAGACTTCCTGCAAATAAATGCAAGCAACAGATAAAAGCAGGCCTAAATGAGCAACAAAGAGAGAGACAGAGAGAGAGAGAGATGGACTATCACAGTTTTGCCCTTATTAGAAAAAAAAAAAATTATAGCAGATGTCCATGTGCTGCAGTGTGGATAAGAATATTTTCTTTTTTTTTTAATTAAAAAATTGTTTTTATTTTCCAGGATGACATTTCTCAGAAAATCTCTTTAAATAAAGGATAAAAGATATGTATTCTAGGGTGGACATGATGGCTCACGCCTGTAATCTTAGCACTCTGGGAGGCCAAGGCGAGTGGATTGCCTGAGCTCAGGAGTTCAAGACCAGCCTGAGCAAGAGTGAGACTCCATTTCTACTAAATATAGAAAAACTAGTTGGATGTTGTGGTGGGCACCTGTAGTACCAACTACTTGGGAGGCTGAGGCAAGAGGATTGCTGAAGGCCAGGAATTTGAGGTTGCTGTGATCTATGACATGACACCATGGCACTCTACCCAGGGCAACTGAGTGAGATTCTGTCTCCACCAACTCCCAAAAAGATATTTATTCTAGCAAACAGAGAGTTTGGCTTCTCATCAGGGCCTTTAGATGTCAATTTGATATGCTGACAATTTAAAAATGATTTTGTTTCTGCCTCTGACTTCTGTACATGGACATTTTATATGGATCACACACCCATCAGCCTAAGGGCTAAGAAAAAAATTCCCCAAATTAAGAGAAACTTGTTTAAAAATAGTTATGTTCCAAAGGAACAGTAATAAACTACTTGGAGTCTGTGAATTTTCATCTCATTTTAGGACCTCATAAAGGAGAGAGCAGTTGGTGGAGAAGGTAGTAATGGTTAGATGACATGTTTGCCTGAAACTCCCCAGAGAGGGTTCTATCATTTTGTTGTTTTATTTCAATTCAGTGAACATTTACTAAATGCTACCGTGTGCAAAGACCTTCAGAAAACCAAAAGACATTAGTCAGGTGTGGTGGCATACACCTGTAGTCCCAGCTATTTGGGAGGCTGAGGCAGGAAGATCACTTAAGCTCAGGAGCTTGAGGTTGCCGTGAACTATGATGATGACACTGCACTCTATCCTGGGCAACAGTGTGAGATGCTGTCTAAAAAAGAAAAGAAGAAAGAAAAAAGAAGGAAAGAAAACAAGAAAGCCAGAAGATAAATAACACTCTGCCTCTAATCTAATCTCATACTTCCAATTAGGAGACCAAGATAAGTAGAGGAATGACTGAATATGTAAATAAGGTAAATAGAAAAGTACAAAAGTTTATGTGGATGAGAAAAACTTAAGTGTGAGACACTGTTATGATACAGTAGATAGCTTTTATTTTTTCATAAGGAACATTTTAATTGGAGTATAACATAATGATAATTTTCTCATCCTGGAAAAAATGCTATGTACCTTATTGCTGAATATCACTATGGTCACCTTCTAAATACTCCCTCTGGCCCTCTGGTGACCACAGCAATATTCAGCAATGAGATATGTAGCACTTTTTCTAGGTTAAGTTTGAGAATATAACTGTCAGACCTTGTATGATGACTGCTCTGATGGCCATTCCAGAAAAAGAGTTCCAAAATTGCTTTGTAGGCTGGACTAGGCACTGGCATTGGTGCATAGCTTCCCAAAGGGAGTACCTCGAAGGTGACCATTGTGATATTCAGTGATGAGGTGACCATAGTGGTATTCAGTGATTTCTAGAATGAGTTTTAGAACTTAACTGTCAGACTATTCCATGTCTATGCCAGACCTGGTATTGCCAGTCTTTTAAGATTTAGCCATTCTAGTAAATATTAAGTAGAATTTCATTATAGTTTTAATTTACATTTCCATGATGACCAATGACAATAAGGCTTTTTTAATATGTTTTTTTTTTTTTTTTTTTTTTTGAGACGGAGCCTCAAGCTATCTCCCTGGGTAGAGTGCCATGGCATCATGCTCACAGCAACCTCCAACTCCTGGGCTCAAGTGAGTCTCCTGCCTCAGCCTCCCAAGTAGCTGGGACCACAGGTGCCCGCCACAACGCCCGGCCATTTTTTGGTTGCAGCCATCATTGTTGTTTGGCAGGCCCAGGCTGGGGATTCGAACTTGCCACCTTAGGTGTATGTGGCTGGCGCCCTAGCTGCCTGAGCCACAGGCGCTGAGCCTTTTAATATGTTTGTTGGCAATTTCGATACTTTCTTCTGTAAAGTGCCTATTCAAGTGTTTTGTCCATTTTTCTGTTGTGTGTCTTTTTCTTGTTGATTTGCTAGAATTCTTTACATATAAGCCCTTTAATAGTTATATATACTACAAATATCTTCTACTCAGTGGTTTGCCATTTTCATTTTTTTAACAAACATTTTTTGAGCATAAATCCCTAATTTTAATGTAGCAAATCTTTTCTTTATCAGTTAATACATTTTGTGTCCTGTTTAAGAAAACTTTTTTTTTTTTTTGGCCAGGGCTAGGTTTGAACCTACCCCCTCTGGCATATGGGACCAGCGCCCTACCCCTTTGAGCCACAGGCACCACCCAAGAAAACTTTTCCTATCTCAAAGTCACCGAGTTATTCTCTTATGGTATTATTGTCTAGAAGCTTTATTGTCTTACCTTTTATATTAAATCATCTGCCTGGAAATATATTCGTACATTCTAAGTAGAAATGACTTTATATA